TAAGTTTAGCAAATACTAATGTTGGATGAATCAAGCAGCATTTCTGGGATATGTTATATATTCTTAAGGTATTCAAGTGAATCCTTAAAAGGTAACAGAAATTAAAATTTGGAACAACCACGAGTCGTAATTGAGATTTGGAATTTCTTAGCTTACCATGCTATTTTGGATGGTTGTGAAAGAATTTTTAGTCATTGCTTTGTCATTAACGAGACTGTTGAGAAAAGAGGTCATGTATGAGTGGGAAGGAAATTGTGAGCAAAGGATTCAACAACTGAAGTATTTCCTCACTCATGCACGTATTTTGGTATTCCCAGATAATAGTAGTAATCATAAATTTTTAGTGATGTTTCTTGAATGGTATTGGAGGCATGTTGATGCAAATGTTAGGGTGATTGCATACGTTTCACGATAAATGGAATCTCATAAGATGAATTACCCTACTGGTGATTTGGAAGTCACGATTACCATTCTTGCTGTGAAGTTATGGAGACATTATATTTTAGTGGGAATGCAAGATTTTTTTTACGAATCCAAAAAGTCTTCAATATCCATTACTTGGAAGGATTTTGATATGAGGCAGCGAAAGTGAATTGTATTGCTTAATGAACATGATTGTACGATCAGGGTGATCGTAAAGTTTGTTCTAGCTGAAGCACTTGGTGAGAAGACTACAGTAAGATTAATATCTGGCACGTTTGCCAAGAGTATCATTTTGTGGATTGAAAACCAACGGAAGAAAAATTAAGAATGGAAGATCGAGAAGAAGTTATACTTGTTAAGTAACAAGTTAGTACATTTACTCCAGTGTTGAGTAACAACCTTTCCCAGACAGTGCAACACTACTTATTTGTTTTATGGAAAAGAGAATTGGATTACGGAACTGCTAAGTTTCTTAAGTATGTTGGTTGTGCAGTTTCCGAAGTAACGCCATAAGGACCATGAAATGTGTCACGTGAGTCGGTTTTTGATGACTTGTGAATGGAATGTTTCTGGGTAGAGAAAGATTCGATCGAGAAAGAGTTTTAGTAGACCCTGAGACTATGGATGAGTCTCCTCAAAGTATTCAGGTGATTAAGTTAACCTGAAGTAACCAGGAATGGCAAAAGAGATCAACAGATGGATATGCCACTAATCGAGTGTGTAAGGTAAATGGTTTGATATTTTTGGAAAATTCACCACGAACAGAAATGAAGAGAATTGGAAAAGAGACAAGATAAGATTTAAACACATCAGACCGTTTTGATCATTAAAAGAATCAATGAAGTTGCATATAAGTTTGTGATGCCTTCAAAAATTGGCTAAGGTGCATAATGCATTATATTTCGATGCGTTGTCACTAGGTGGCAGATTCGTCACATGGGATTCTGGTGCAACTATTTAGAATTCAATTGGATTCGACTTGATAAGGAACCAAGGACTACTTTGGATTGGGAAAAGAAGGTCCTGAGAATTAAGACAGAGTAAGTGGTAAAAGCTTTGTGAAGGAAATCATTCAGTAGAAAATTATGTGGGAGAAAGAGAAACGGATGAGAGAGATTTACCCGAAGCTATTGTTGGAGTATGGTTGATTTAGTTGATTGCTGGAATTTCGGGGACGAAATTCTATAAGGAGGGAAGATTGTCACAGCCCGTCCCGGAATTTTTAATTCCGAGGACGTGAAATTACAAAAACGCCCTTAAACGGGATTAAGGTGCGTAATTTTGGTGTTTGTTTTACCTAAAATTTCTAAGCTATTGTCGTGTTGGACTTTAGGTAGGGTCCTATACCCTAATTTCCTCCCCATTTTCCGTAACCTTTCCTTCTCTCTCTTCTTCTTCCATTTCAGATTTTCACTCTCTCTCTCTCTTACTCTCTAACATACGGACTCACACACAAACCACAATCAAATCTCCACGAACGTCCAAGTTAAGACCACCATTGCAACCCTGAGGACTCCACGATCACGTAGACACCATTTTCAGGTAAGTTTTGCTTCGGAAAACCCTAGTTTTTAAGGTCCCGTGTTTATATATTGTTCATGATCTTTTAAATGGTTACGATTTAGGCTAAAACAAGCTCACAGTGAGCTTAAGGAGGTCACTAGGAGGCTCGGAGTGCCTCGTTGAACAAAATGGACGTCGGGATCACGTGGTTCATCTTTGGCCGGTTTTCTTGGAATTTTTCCGGTGAGATTTCCTGGTTTTTAGAGCTTTAAAGTAGTATATTGTGATTCTACATGTTTGGGGCTTCAATTTGATATATTATACGAAGAAAATGGTTGAGAAACGAAGGAGAACGAAGCATTTGAAAATTCCCCAGTTTTCCGGTCACCGGAAAAACCAGTCCGGCGACCCAAGGAAGAAGAAGGTGCGCGTGGGGGCGCGTGGACCCGTGCCTTCCTTGGCGCGTGGGGGCGCGTGATAAAGTAAACAATTATTTTAAAAATATGTCGACGTCCGTGACGTCGAGTAGATCACTGTGGTATATTCATATACCTAAATTGAACACCGTATGAGAAAGTTATTAAGGATTGTTGGTTAGGTGTTCGAATAACGTTTTATAGTTTTGGTGAAAATGTGAATTGATGATCCGACCGTTGGATCGTCACCAAAATTTGATACGTTGTAATACGTAATATTTGAGGATTATTGGAACTTACGGATTGGGAATCCGAGTTATGGATCTTCCGGAATTGGAATTGTAAGTCCATAATATAAAATGTTAACCGTCACTTAGTTTTGGAAATTGACGGAGATCCGACCGTTGGATGGTAATGAAATTTTAGGATGTTATCCTAGAGATATATTGTGGACCTCTGGAAGTTATGGATTTAAAATCTGAGTGGCAGATCTTCCGGATCGAACTACGTAGTGACGTATTTTATATAAGTTATATATTCTATCGATATGAATTTTGAGCCTGGATTTGATTACTATTCTAGGCGGCGATCGTCATGACGCCTTGATGTGTGGTGCTAGGGAGTTGTTGGACGAACTCCAGGTGAGTGGGCAGTTTTGTTTTCCGTATATATATATACTTGACGTTTCCCAGAAATTGAATTGAAATGAAAATATGTTTAAAATGAAAATGCATATGAGTTATGTGGAAAAACGGGAAGTGAAATACCATGCATAGAATTGATATGAAAAGTATATAGAAATGTGAGTTGAAATGCCATGCATGAATTAATATATGATGCATATGTATGAATTGGTGCGGTGGACGCACAAGTAAGAATTGATTTATGATGCATATGTATGAATTGGTGCGGTGGACGCACATGTAAGAATTGATTTATGATGCATATGTATGAAATGGTGCGGTGGACGCACAGGTGAGTATCAGGTGATTATTTAAATACTGTTATGATGATGTTGATATATATTGAGCTCAAATCCTGCACCATGGTTTAGTGCTTATAGTATTCACCGCATCGCACGCTCGCCTTGGATCCAAGTAGATGCTAGTCGTACAGTCCACGCGGAGTGGGTACGACAGACCAGTCGCGAGAGTGTTAGTGAGATTCCGACTGGTGGGTGACCTTAGATTATGTGCACAGATGATTTATGAGAAGCACTAGAGCGTAACTTGTGTGCAGAAGGCCGGACGGGTCACAGAGGTGACTCCGGTAGAGTGATGATAATGATAGATTTTGAGCTCTAGGTTCAACCGTATAGGGCTATTAGAGGGCCTACGGTTGATTACTTTCTTGCACCTGATATGATTATGTTGATGCATTCATACCTTATTACTGTTGAGATGATGTGGCATGGCATAATTAATATGAGAAATGTTGAGATGACATGGCATGGCATGATTGATAAAGAAAAATGTTGAGATAGTAAAAATGAAGTTTTGAGAATATATATGTATATTTATATTTTACATTTCTGGGAAAGTATACAGGTTTTACGGAGAGGGGTTACAACGTTTTGAGAAATGTTTGGATTTGGAAAAGAATTGTTTTACTGACCCACTCAATTTTGGTTTTGCGCCCCTCCAGGTTCAGGAATCACAAAGGTGTGGTGACTACGAGGAATTCGACGGTGTTCTGACAGATTGGACAAAATTAGGACTCACCTTCGGGTGTATCAACTTATAAATTGTATCTTAAAGCTTCCGTACTGTGCAAATGGTTACGTCACTCTCACGTGACAGCCAGCATGCCCTCCTTCGGGACGGGGTGTGTCAGCTACTTAAATCAAATCTTTACTAACATTGCTCTTCAAGAGAACTGGTTGTTACCAAAATTAAACAACCTGTAAAGTTAATGTTAAACAGGAGATGCAGCGTTATTCAAGCACGAATTATCAACAAATCTGTATTTTGCACGAAACAGATTTTTGCTTAATTTTCTGTTGGTAATTTCAACTTTCAGTTATTGTTATAAATTTTCTGTCATTTGGTCACAGTATCATGTGATTTTAACTTTTGTTATAATTTTTCCAATGCCTAAGAAATTTTTTACATTGATGTTGTTATCTAGCTCACAAAGATTACAAGGTATGTTGCCATTCCTCATGATCTGCATATCTATCGTCTATATAATTTCAACAAACAATATTATACAACCTGTGTCAACTTGCAGAGTGAAGCTTAATTTATATTCATTAGTTCAACACTGACATGTAAACCTGATTCATGTATGGATATAATTGTTTAATCTTTTACTGCACCTTAAGCAACCGAAAAGTGAGGACGATGAAAACAGTTATATAAACAAATAAATGTAATTGAACAAGTTCATACATATATGTTGCTCATTTGTTTCAGCATTTTTGCTTTGGCTCATCTGATTGAAATGTTCTTCCATAACAGGTTCCAACTTAGTTTTTTCCAGCACCTTATAAAAAATTGATTCCGTCTTGCACAAATTACAAGGTATGCTCTAACTTATGATTTCATAAATTTCATACGAATTGATGCTGGTTGTAAATACATTTCAGCATGTTCAATTTTACACCTGCAGCATCGCGCGGGTACCATTGCTAGTATATACTAAAACTCAATTTTCAGGTGGCACTATTGATGTGCGGACAGAAATGCCCCTGATTTTTTGCTTGATTTACCGTTTTGCCTTTCTTTACTTCTTTAGCCTTCGATTAGGTTTTTTCTGACCTTTACCTTTGTTTTGCCTTTTCTCTCTCGCCACCGATCTCTTCTTGGATCCGTCTTCTCTCTCACAAATCTTTGCTTCTGTCATTTTCGAACTACAAATCTCTTCTTCCGTCTTCTGTTTGCGCTCTGTTGGCTTCTCTCTATAAAAGTCCTCTCTCTCCTCCTTCGCCATACCCAAGCTTTTCTTTGTCGGTTTGCTTTCCTGATTTCTGCTTTCCCCTTTTGCTCCCTGCTGCAGATCAGCAGCTGCACTGCTGTTCTTCCTCTCCTCCTTAATTCTTCCACTCCAAATACTTCATTTCATCATAACATTTTCATACGGCAACGAAATCGCGCAAGGTCGGAGCTTATAGATTCGTATTAGAACCCTCTTCCATTTGATATGAAACCCACACCTCAAAATCAACCGTGCTCAAAGATTCGAGCCTAGAACAGTGACGGTTTTTTGGCAGAGTTTTGCTGATTCCGCCCAATCCGGCAGGAATTTGGTCTCGGCCCAAGAGAGAAAGTTGATCCTCTCCTGACGATATTTCTACCTATACTTTCGTTGAGTGAACTGAAAGTTTTATTTTATTTTATTTTTATTTTATGTTTTTTTAGTTTTTGGTTTGTGGGTTTTTAATTTTTTTTATTTTTTTTGTGCAGGTAAAGGAAGAACCCAGAAGCGATATGTTCACTGTTCAGCAGCTAATAGGTATGCCTAAGACCTCTTGCTGGTTGCGACAATCTCCAGTGTCTTACTCTATTTCTCTCTCTATAGTACCAGTACATGTATAAACAGATGTATACATCCATAAACAAACATGCATACTCTCATTTGTTGGATTTTTTATGCTCAATGAGATTGAAGAAAATTTGAGTCCATCTAATTTTTGAATTTTTATAATATATCTGGGAACCTTGGATGTATATGGACAGTCTGCGGATGTTTGACTAACAAAACAAAGGCAAGTTAACATTTCTTTTGCAAATTTTTAATTTGTTTCTCAAATTGATAGTTTTTATTCATTTGGATTTTTTTCCTCTCAAATTTTTAGCAGACGGGGGAAATGGTGAAGATGGCAATGCTGAAAATGAAGTTTCTCAGACACCAAGAAGTAATCTTTTCGGCTTCTCAGCCTCGCTTGATGATGAGTGTTCTCATGGAGATGACTAGCGGAGTGTTCTCATGGAAAATTTCAAATTAAAGGTTGCAATCAAATCCTTAACAACTTTTATGCTTTTTTTTCCTCCCTAATTGGGAGTAGCTGAGCACGGAACCGTTAATTTGGGTTACATTTGGGGAGACTATATATGTTTAGGTGTCGATTCTAGACTAACCTGTGTCGTGACTAAACGTACCACCAGCTTAACGTACAACAAGTTCTTTCGATTAAGTCGGGATGTGGGCCTCACCATGGCTAGTCTAAGGTCGGGTTGGGAAGAAATGTTTTGATGGCTATAAGTGATTAAGTCTAAACTTATATCTTATTACCTCAAGAATATATACATTGGTTTTTGACTCCACTCTAACAGTTTTCAGATTTTCTGAGGAAGCTCAGAGGGTAGAGACTGCCGCTCGTCTAGCGTACCAGCTTTCCAGTGTTGGTGGCTCGATGTTTAGCCTCATGGTGGGTTGAGACACTACTAGTCTCAACCCACAAATGTTTTGAGTGAGGTGCTGTAAATTGATTACTATTGGCGCTCAAGCAATGACCGTAGACACAAGTAAAAAATAGTAAGCATCAATAACTTCAGTTCAGAGAAGAATATATTACTTTTGTTGTTTTCTTATAAATATATGATAATAATTATGTTATGAGTAATTATTTATGCAGCATAAACCTTGGTTACTTGACTGATTACGATCACATGGAAGTGGGACATGCTGCATCGTAATCAGTCAAGTAACCAGGGTTTATGCTGCATAAATAATGACCCAGAACATAATTATTATCATATATTTACAAGAAAACAATAAAAGTAATATATTCTTCTATCAATTGAAGTTATTGATACTTACTATTTTTGACCCGTGGCTACCGCCATTGCTTGAGCGCCAGTAGTAATCGATTTACGACACCTCACTCAGAACATCCAAGGGTTGGGACTAGTAGTGTCCCAACCCACAACAAGGTTAGACACCGAGCCACCAGCACTGGTACGCTAAACGAGTGGCCGTCTCTATCCTCTGAGCCTCCTCAAGCAAATCTGAAAATTGTCAGAGTGGAAATAAAAAATCAGTGTATATATTTTTGAGGTAATAAGATATAAGTTTAGATTTTTCACTTTTAGCCATCGAAACATTTCTTTCCAGCCCGACCTCAGACCAACCATGGTAAGGTACACATTCCGACTTGATCGAAAGAACTTGTTGTAGGTTAAGCTGGTGGTACGTTTGGTCACGACACAGGTTAGTTTAGAATCGACGTCCAAGCATATATAGTCTCCTCAAATGTAACCCAAATTAATGGTTCCGTGCTCAACTGCTCCCAATTAGGGATGTAAAAAAAAGCTATTAAGGATTTGATTGCAACCTTTATTTTGAAATTTTCCAACAAGAACACAATAAAAAAAATTCACTAAGCGCAATAGAGTTCGGAGAGGGGCCAAACCTTTTGCATTAGGTTGGGAGATATTGGACTTCTCTCTTACACCAGCATTTAGACCATCTCCAACCCTTAGGCTAATACTTCAAATTCTCATAAACATAGGTTTTAGTTTAGAAACAGTTTTTCTGTTCCAACCTTTCTAGCTTAAATTTTTTAGTCTGAGATTATTAAAGAATAAATTTAAGTTAATTTTTTCTTTTAAAGTAATTTTTTTTAAATTATGTACACTATCATAATTTAATTTTATGAACATTTTAACCTAAAAATCACTAAATTTGGATGAGTTTTAAGTTAAATATATATTTTTAATTATTTTAGCCTTTGGATTTTAATTTGGTCCGTTAATTTTTTTTTAACCGTTAGATTTATTTATATTCGATTTTAGCCATTGGATTCAATAAATCCTGGGAGGCATGCTCTTGTGGGTGGGGTCCCGGTGGTGGTGTCTACACCATTTTCTGGGCTAAATCCTGGGGGAATTTAGCTTTTGTTTGACTTTTAGCTTTTAGCTCACATATTTAGCATGAGTTTAGTTGGGTTTGAGGGAATAAAACCTAAAAAATAGCATTTAGCCTAGGTTGGGTTTGATTTTTGAAGCAGCAAAAGGGGGGAAATAAATTAGGTTTGTACAAGTATAAAGGGAAACAGCTTAAGTCGACGTATCAAGAATCCCAAACTTACCTTGGCATTAGTATGAATCCTGCAAGAACATAAAAACGGAAACTAAATCTAACATTAAAAGTAAAAAAATTAAGAGATAAGAGAGATTGGGTCCGAATCATTCACCTGCGGGGAGAAGCAATGGCGTATATCCTCCAGGAGCTACTTCTTCCATAGGAGGATCCTCTAAAAGTTCAGACACCCACGCTGGCATCGACTCCGGCATGTAGGGTTCGGCGTCTGCCCTTAACCTTGACCCTGACCCTGACGCCATATTCTCTCTCTCTCCGTCTTTCTCTGAGATTGCAGATCGATTGTTCGACTTGGAGGCGGAGGTTCTGGGTTCCCTTATATTTTTAGGTTTCGGCTTCACTGTCTCGGGCTGGGCTTGGTTTTATTTTTTATTTTTATTTTAATTCTCTCCTAATGGTTAGTAGAGTCAATTCCTCTTGTTTACTAGACTTTTGTCAAGGAGAAAACAAGAGTCAATTTCTTGGAAAATCCAATCTGAAATATTGATATTCCTAGGTAAATCGGAAGAATAAGTCAGAAATCGATAACTAATTTAGAAGCATGTTTACTTATTTGAAATTAGTATATTTTTTTATTGTTTGCGTATGAAATAATCTATCGTCATGATTTGATATCTGATTATTTAGATAATAGTGGTATTAATTTGAGTTATGCCCAGTAGGGAACTTGGACAATAAAGATCAAGCTCAAAGGATGATATTTGGTGCAAATAGCATATCCCTAGTAAAAGTATATGAAATTATTTTTTATCGATATAATGACGGAACAAAGGCCATAACGTTTGTCGTACTGAGACGATATATGATGAGACTATTAGTTACAAATATAGTGCTAGTTAGTTTAATAGTATTTTCGGGAGTATATTTTTCTTCATAAATAAGTTTTGCACACTCGTTTACTCCTTTTGCAAGCATTCTTCTTCTTTTTATTTTATTTTTTATTTTATTTTTTATAGTTTAGATTAAACAAATTAGTTTAAATGACATAACTAAACAAAAACATAGACTGAACAAATGGTGTTTACGGAAATCACTTTCCTTTGGTCTATTTGAACCATGAGGTTTTAAAAACCGTATCATTTAATATCTTTTGTCTATTTGAACGTCTTATCATCCATTAAACTCACGAGTTCTTTTCTAATGTGGTCTAAATATGACGTACGCGTTAGTCATATAAGAGTCTCAAGCTCACCACGTCCTCAATTTAATAAATAATCAAGCAATTCATCCGACCAAACACACAAACTTATACAACTTCAACCTTAGAGTGCAATATAAAAAAATTAAAAATTCGTGGCCAATTTTTAAAATCACCCCAAATCCGAAGAGTATAAATATAGTCAAGCCAAATTTATAGTTTCAAGATTATAATTTGGAGATTTCTCGATTAAAAATTAGCATAATTATCTTTTAAAACCTAATTTGAAGAAGAGCGACAACATCCATCATACAATCGACGTTCATGCCAACCCCATATATATATAGAGGTTATAGTTTTTTTTATTCCTTAAAAGGGACTAGCTGGTGGTTTCACCATGACAGTCCACCATTCTAGGGGTCGAAAAGACTCACAAAAGTATTTCAGTTTTCCCTTGACCACCATCATGTGATTCATCAGCGTTAGGAATCAATATAGAGGTTATTGTTCGAAACTCCAATGTACTCCCAAAAAACCATTTCCTATTTCCAGCCACAGCCCCAACGCCCCCCCCTCCCCCACTCATTGTATTTACATTCCCACATGTACATCACAATATGATACATGCATATACATACATACATACATACATATATATATATATATATATATATATATATATATATTTATTAGCACTCCAACTATTTTATTATGCACTGAGAGTGCGCTTGCTTACATTCTTTTTGGCACCTCAATGTTAGCTATTCACCATCAAGAGTTGCACATTGGGTTGGATTGTTCGCCAATTAAAACGGTAGGTGAGTTGAGTTCAAAATATCGTGACAGAAGGATGCTATTATTAGGACTTCAACTATTTTATTATGCACTGAGAGTGCGCTTGCTTACATTCTTTTTGGCACCTCAATGTTAGCTGTTCACCATCTGGAGTTGCACGTTTCAAAGGTTGGATTGTTCGCCAATTAAAACGGTAGGTGAGTTGAGTTCAAAATATTGTGACAGAGTTTGATCTATCGTCAACATGAATGTTAGAGCATTGCAAAGATCATTTCCTAGTACGAGAGAACAGGGAAGAACGTACACATTGTTAATACATTTAATTACGTTGAGACAGAGATATATAAATATATATATATATATCCACACATACTGTTACTTATGAAGTGGTCCATCACCTACCATGTCCATACCACATGAATCACATTGTTTTTAATTTTCTAGCTGCAATTCAGAACCACTTAAAACGATACGAAGATAAGCCCATCGTCTTCTTCCTTCTTCCTCCTTCCTCCTTCCTCCTTCCTCCTTGCTCTGTTTCTCTCTGTCTGAAGTTAACTCCAAGTTCTTCCCATGGTACCCCTCGTTTCCCTCCACACATCCACAACCCAACCCCTCCTATATACCCCAACCGCCACCCCATCTCTCCAACCCCACCTCTCCCGCACCAAAGCCCATCCTCCCCGACGAACCCAATTTTTCATTTCATCGATCTCCCAGAACTCTCATCGATTCACCAGCCAAAACCCCCAACCCCCGGAAGCTCAGCCGCCGAGAACCCAGTTCCCAGGTGGGTTCAAGCGCCCGGAGGTCAGGGTCCCCAATGTCGTGCTCCAATTGGACCCCGACGAAGTCCTTGCCGGCGAGGATGCTTTGGATTTGGTAGACAAGGCGGTGTCGAAGTGGGTCGGGGTTCTGGTGCTTAATGGTCGTGATTCAAGCGGCGGCAGGCTCTATGAGGCCGCCTGTAAGCTGAAGTCTGTGATTAGAGACCGCGCCTACTTGTTGATCTCCGAGAGGGTCGATATCGCCGCCGCAGCTAATGCCAGTGGAGTTCTGCTCTCCGATCAAGGTCAGTCTTCATTTTCAGGTCATGTTACTGCTTGGGTAATCAGTATTCTGATACATGTGTGTGTGTGTATATAGATACAGACACATGATATTATATAAAACTTCTTTGCTTGTGTCGTCTCTGATATTAGAAGATGATTGATGTTGACTCATTGTATTTTATTCAAGTTTAGCAAGTTTTAATCTTAATGAATTATACAGCCTAAGTGGATTGATATCAAAACAAGAATAATCTGTTTAAATCTCATTTCGTTACTGAATTTCGGTACATTTGGTATCGAAAATCCGTGGACTTGGTCAGTGATGTGTTTTTTGGTAACGGAGGTGAATGATGGGTTTGTTTCTTCTTACATAGGTCTTCCTACCATTGTAGCAAGAAGCACAATGATGGCTTCTAAATCTGATTTGGTTGTCCTTCCTTTGGTGGCAAGATACGTGCAAGATATAGATGGTGCCATAAATGCATCCAACTCTGAAGGAGCTGACTTTCTTATATACGATATTGCCGGACAGGAAAATATTCTTCTGGCACTCAACAGTCTGTTTAAAACTGTAAAGATACCAATATTTGTCACGTTCACTTCTTATAACGCCTTATATAAGGAGGGGCCAGCATTATTGAAATCTGGCGCTAGTGGATTAGTTACGTCTTTGAAAGATTTCCGGCTGCTTGATGATAAGGCTTTGAGCAAATTGTTTGACATCGTGTACATGCCGAATAGTGAAACACAGGATGAAGTTGAAAGCTTAAGTGAGCTCACGTATTTGGATGCCCATGATGGTCCCATCGACAGTACAAGTGTTGCTGGTTTTCTTAAATTGGAGGATAGAGAAAAAAAGTTCATAGAAGCAGAAAGATCAGTGTTGCTTAAAGCAATAAATGTCATCCAGAAAGCTGCTCCACTGGTGATCATTTAATTAAAGAATTTGGTAGTTAAAGTTAATATTGAGATAATCATAATTTCATTCATTTTTATTCGTATACGTTATGATTAAAAGTGGAATATTGATTTTGAATGACAGATGGAGGAGGTTTCACTTCTCGTTGATGCAGTTTCTCAAATTGATGAGCCATTTTTGCTGGTTATAGTGGTAATTGTGTGCTGAACTTCAACAAATTGTGGTTCCAGGAATATACATTGGTATTAGCTCTATATTTCATGTAAATCCTTCTTTTCTTTATAGAATA